CAGGGCCACTTACAACAGCGTCGTCCCAACCTTTGCTACTCTCTCTTGCGGCCGCCTGAGAACCCTCCCTCCCTCCCTTTTGTTCTCAATTTTCTTTCCATGCTAGCAACCTTGCTACCATATCATCGTCCAGTCGCATGTTTCTTCCCCCCATCTTCTTCAACCCTGCTTTGAATAACTCCTCCGGATACCCAATCACCTTCATTTCCTTCAAAAAAGTAACCAAACTCCACCAAAGTGAGAGTCTGGTATTTGTATTGTCCAGGATCCTGCAGATCACATTTGACACTGTTCCAAATTTCTGGATCAAGGGGGCATAAGAGTCAAAACTTCGCAAAGTTCGGAATCGCCGAACCTTCCCTTCCCAGATGGCTTCCAAGTTTTTGAACTTCAGGAAGCTGTGAATCCACGCAGGAAAATCCGTGACAACCAACCTTGTCTCCAGATACTCAGCAATCCGATTTTTTGAGTCAGTCCTCTCCAACGTAAGGTTCTTGTGATAGCAACCCATGATTTTGTCCAAGGTGCGCTCAACGCACTTCAATCCATCTTTCTTCTTTCTGTCAAACCACCCAATTAATAACAGATCATCAATGAACCGGCTGCCGTTAATGCACTTTGCGTCCTTTCCCAAAGTTTCCATAAACTGCTGCTCCGCGTAAATGCAGAGAGCATTCGCCAGTGGAGGGCTCGCTCTCCCTCCCATCAGAATGCCTATGTCTTGCTTCAAGACTTGTTCCAAAGAGTAGAAAAACATATTGTCCAGCTGAAACTTCGTCAGAGCCAACAAATCAGATAACCTTATCGATTTCCAGCCTGCTTCTCCGTGCGATTTGCCAAAAGTGGCCTTTTTTCCTCTTGTCTTAATACGGATCCAGTAATGACCTTTGCCATTAAACCAACTGACCAGCCAAGCTACTGCCTTCATGATCTGTTCATGGGGTAATTTAGTAAACATCTCTTTTACATCATATGTCCTTATAGTGATTCCTACATCCATTCCATAGGTAAGATGGGCTGACTCATTCGCTACTCTGATATTTTCTTGCAAGTGCTTTGCTCCTGTGAGATTGAAGTGTGGTACTCTCAACCTTTTGATAAGAAAATTCAGACTCTGCGCCAAATAACCCATGGCATCCCTTGCGGGGTGTAGGAAGGAGGGCACTATAGGCCTCTTCTTGCAGACATCCTTGTCTTTCGACAGGATGTATGCTTGTTGTAATCTTCCCTTGTTATCCCATCTCGCAATTCGTCCAAGCTTTCTTCAAGATACTGTGTTTTTACTTCCTTTAGTATCATCTTCTCAGGTTTGTCATTTTTCCTATAGCTCCCATTTTCATTGTACATCATCCGCATGCCGTCTTCATACAATGTTGGGCATTCAACAAGAGTCGCTCCTGGATTTCTATCCAGTGGCGAGAGAACTAGTCCCTCAAGTGCTTGTTTCAAACCAAAGGCATACTCAGTGTCACAACCTACTAGGTGCGCCGTTCCTTTTATAAAAAAATAATTCCAATTTAGGTGGACTTTCCCAGCCTGGGGTACACAACCCATTTTCTTCAATGGCTCCAACACATTGTTGCACGCTTGATTCACATCCCGCCCTGTCAGCAACCGTCCTGGATACGGAATGTTTTTAGCATTCAACACAAATCCCCTGATCCCCTCAATTTCGTCTAGTCTGACTGGAACATGCCCGTTTTCTTTGGGCAGGTCAAAACCTCTGCAAGTGCAGTGCCAACCGCTTACTCTTGCAAAGTGTTGGTGATTATGCAGAATGTCGCCGACAGATTTTCTTTTCTGCCAAACAGTCCTCATTCTACCAATCAACAAGTAGTCTAGCAATCAACAATCAGGGTGTGTACTAGCAACCCAGCCTTGTTCTGTTTCTGTCTGTGGTAGTTGATTAGGTAGTGGCCGGACTGCCGATTGACCATGACTGCTGTGACAGAGGTTGGATGGACAGAGTAGTCTGCTGTCTTTGATGCAGTGCTCGACAACACTCAGTGTTTGTTTACGGACGGGGACTCTACTCAACAACACCCCTGTGTTGTATACTAGTGGAGGCAGTAATTGGCAACGCCCTTGGGCTATAAACAGATAAATGCTATTTAATTCTGGTCTCCATTGTGAAAAATGAGCAGCAAGCAGCTTGCTAAGGGCTTTTACAGCAAGCAGTGTGCTAAGAGCATAGCAGCAAGCAGTTCGCCGAGAGCCGTTGACGAGCTCTGCTCGGAGAACCTTCGTGTGAGTTGCGAACGGGTGAGTCCATGGCTTGCCCGATCCGAGTTGATGGGTCGTGATTTTTATGTGCTGTCTTTAAATGCCGAACTGCATGGAAGGGACGGACGCTCCCCTGTAGTTTCTTGGGTTGATCTGTGGCGGTCGTGACAGATGGCTGTCATTTTCTGCTCACCTGACAGACGACAGGATGTCAGGGTGTGTACTCGCAACCCAGCCTTGTTCTGTTTCTGTTCGTGGTAGTTGATTAGGTAGTGGCCGGACTGCCGATTGACCGTGCTTGCTGTGACAGGGGTTGGACGGACAGAGTAGTCTGCTGTCTTTGATGCAGTCGTGTGCTCACAGCGGAAACTTCAGTCACGGATTGGTGACACTTCCAGTTGAAGCTTCTCCACTTGAAAGAAGTGACTTGCTGATGGGGCATCTTTAAAGAGATGCATCAGTGGGGTCCTTGGAAGCCTCCTGACCCTGAATCACAAAGAAAACTCCTCCCGCTTTCAGCATTGGACCTTCCTGCGAGCTTTGAGGAGAAGTCACAAGGTCCGCCCACACCTGTTCCAATCGCACCCTTCTTCTCTGTTGAGACTCCAGTGGCATTCGGAGTGAGTCTGAGGCTGAGGTAAGCACTCACATTGCTGTTCTACTATTAGACAAAAAGCCTCCCCACGAGCGTGCTGCCCTCGTGCTGGCAAAAGTAGCGGCTGACTGTGGCAAAAAAAAGCAAGCCCTGGACGAAGCTTTGAGGAGCTGAGTTGACCCTTGATGAGAGATGAGCCATACACCTTTGGTTGGTCTGGCTCTCGGAAGATATCCTTCCAAGCAACATCCACGGTCGCAAGTCGTGAGAGGTTCGCAGCCTCTGATTCTGCCGCCATCCCAAACTCCGGAATTCAGGGGACTTCCTCGTAGTGACCACACTTTGCTGCATGTGGAACAGCATGATGGACACGCAGTTAACGGGTACACAATGTACCCTAAAGCACATACATATCACACACAAAATAAAATCAAGAAAAAAAGCAAAACATCAGGGCAATATGACAGTTTCAGTGCAAAATTCGCCGAAAATAACAACCCCTGCGAATCACATGTACTGCACATGTGCTTGAGATTGAGCGACAGTAGCTTGGCAATAACCTCATGCTGCTGGAGGCAGAGCAGCATGGTGACTAATGTTACCCAGCTGCTTGAGATAGAGCAATAGCAGCTTGACAGTGAGAACACATTGTGTGTGTGTGTGTGTGTGTGTGTGTGTGTGTGTGTGTGTGTGTGTGTGTGTGTGAGAGAGAGAGAGAGAGAGAGAGAGAGAGAGAGAGAGAGAGAAGTAGCAGCTTGACATTGAGAACACGTTGCTAGAGGTGGAAGAGCGTGGTGACTACCTAGTTGCTTGATTGAGCAACAGTCAGCATCGCCCTCGTACGGTGAAGAAGTGCAAGTTAGTGACTGCGCTCTTCTGGAGATCGAATGGCGCAATCACCCTGGTCACTTGAGAAGTGAGTGGCAGCGAGGCCCACTTCCGAAGGCTAAGAAATGCTTCTTAGGCCTGCTTCCGGGACTGGGTGAAAGAGCACAACGCGTGTGATGGGGTTCTATGACCTGAACAGCACACCCGTCTTCCCTCCCGACAAGATGCTGGGTGCTGCTGCCTTGCGTGCTGAATGAGGATCCGGGCTTCCCCATCTGGGTGAGCTGTCTGACAATAAGATACCCGTTAGGTTGGTGGTTAGGTGAAGAAATAATAAAATACTTGTTGAAACAAGAGAACACCAAAAAGTGGAATACTAACAAGTAGTGTTACGAAAAATTTTGGGCAAAAGAAACAAAAAAGGAACGTGCCAAAAAAAACAAAAGAGCCTGCCACCAGCAGGCCTAGCTCAGTTGTTACACTCTTTGGACTGCTGAAATACAGACCCATGTTCGAATCCACATACTGTCAGATGAACAGAAAGAGAAGAAAGAGCCTGCCAAAGAGATCTTGGTGGGCATCTAACGCATATGGTTGCCCCCAACAAGGATGAACTGGTAGGCCTGCGACTGCTAGTTTCAGCGCTCCAGGGTTGGGAAAAACAACAGGATCGACAGAATAGCTTCGGGGACAGCGTGTGGCTGGCTTTCTTCAGTCAATATGTCCAGTTGCTGCAAACTGGCTACTCCAACCCAATGAGAATCCATAAATGCCAAGGACTCTGTGTCCACTCTTCCTCGTGTGTGCGTGTGTGTGTGATGTCATCTTCATTATACACAACTCCACAAAGAAAAGCATGACTGTGCCAACCGGACTGTTTCATTCGACTTCAGTCTGCCCAGGATGCACTTGACTGATGGATAAAAAGTCACCACGTCCCCCAGAGTTTGGGATCCCCTGAGAAAAGTAGTCCACTTTACTCCCACCAACCCTGCAATCCTGCATGTGTGTGTGTGTGTGTGTGTGTGTTTGAGCGCGCGCGCGCGCGCACGAGAGAGAGAGAGAGAGAGAGAGAGAGAGAGAGAGAGAGAGAGAGAGAGAGAGAGAGAGAGAGAGAGAGAGAGAG